CATCTCCCCACAAAACTGCAATTAGGATTTCACCTGTAGTGTCAATGCCAGCTTACACTTGGGAAGCTGAGAATAGTTCTGGAAAACTTTTTTAATGCCTAGAATCTATTAGAAGTTTCTAGTGAGCATTTCCAAAGAGACCATTGGAGTGTTTGGGAAAGACTGTTTTCCATTATTTCTTATTAAAAAAAAAAAAAAAAAAAAAAAGCTATGAAAAGATTTTGTGACTATTATATTCCGAATAAGAAAAAAACATTTTAATTAAGTTCTGAATTTATATATAAAATAGCAGGCCAGGTGCAGTGGCTCACACCTGTCATCCCAGCACTTTGGGAGGATGAGGTGAGTGGATTGCTTGAGGCCAGGAGTTTGAGACCAGCTTTGGCAACACAGTGAAACCCCGTCTCTACCAAAAATACAAAAAATAGTCAGTCTCATAACCTGGTCTCCAAATAAATAAGTAAATAAATAGAACTAAATGTAAAAATAAATTCAAAAAATAAATAGTAATTTAAATATTCAGCATGCCTGAGAAAGGTTTATTTAGAATACAAGACATGCAAATAAGAGAATGTGGTTCAACATGTTTAAAATTAAATAAGAAGACAATATTAACTGGGAAAATAGTTTTTTACCCTTGTAAATTATTTCTCATTAGCAAATTAACTTAGAAATCATACTCTATTAGTTTAATTATTAGTGATTACACATCAGAATATAAGAACAAATAAATTATTAGTGGGTATATATGTATTGGTTAGATACTTGAAATGTATTTTTAATAAAATACTTCAATGAACCTCTTCATTTTCTTACATTTATGTTATTTTGACCATGAGCATGCTATTTCCGCAGGTGATTACGTAGTCTTCCTTAAGATGTCCATTGTTTTACCATAATGCTAATCTTCAGAAGAAAACTGAGGCCCCAAAGTCAAGTGTTCAGATGACTGCAGGGTGACCAACAGTGTGACCACCACCTCCTCAAAGCCAGTGAGCTAGAACCACCCTATTAAGTTGGTCCCAGCTTTGTGACCATCAGAAACTGTAGGATAAGACTGTAGGTTTTTAAAAATTATTTTCCTTGAAGTTTGGGGATACATGTGCAGAACGTGCAGGTTTGTTACATAGGAATACATGTGCCACGGTGGTTTGCTGCACCCATCAACCCGTCATCCAGGTTTTAAGCCCCGCATGTATTAGGTATTTGTCCTAATAGTATTCCTCCTCTTGCCCCCCACCCGCTGACAGGCCCCTGTGTGTGATGTTCTCCTCCCTGTGTCCATGTGTTCTCATTGTTCAGCTCCCACTCATGAGTGAGAACATGTGGTGGTTGATTTTCTGTTCCTGTGTTAATTTGCTGAGAATGATGCTTTCCAGCTTCAACCATGTTCCTGCAAGGACATGAGCTCATATTGTATTTTACGGCTTCATAGTATTCCACGGTGTATAGGTGCCACATTTTCTTTATCCAGTCTATCATTGATGGGCATTTGGGTTGGTTCCAAGTCTTTGCTATTGTAAACAGTGCTGCAACAAACACCCGTTTGCATGTGTCTTTATACTAGAATGATTTATAACCCTTTGGGTATATATCCAGTAATGGAATTGCTGGGTCAAATGGTATTTCTGCTTCTAGATCCTTGAGGAATCGCCACAGTGTCTTCCACAGTGGTTGAACTAATTTACACTCCCACCAACAGTGTAAAAGCGTTCCTGTTTCTCCACATCCTTGCCAGCATCTGTTGTTATAAGAAGATCATAATTTTAAGCCACTCAGTTTTGGGGTAATTTTTTATGCAGAAAGATATAACTAGTACAGCCTATGAGCCATCAATGCCACTTTTCAGAGACATCCAGATAACACACACACATTCAAAATTCGAGAAGTACGCTGATAGAATTGTACATTCTACCTAATATCTAAAAATGAAGCAATAGGGCCTGGGTACAGTGGCTCACACTTGTAATCTCAGGACTTTGGGAGGCCAAGGAGGGCAGATCACTTCAGGTCAGAAGTTCGTGATCAGCCTGGCCAACATGGTGAAACCCTGTCTATACTAAAAATACAAAAAATAGCCAGGCATTGTGGCACACGCCTGTAATCCCAGCTACTCGAGAAGCTGAGGCAGGAGGATTGCTTGAACCCAGGAGGTGGATGTTGCAGTGAACTGAGATCGCGCCACTGCTGGGTGACAGAGCGAGACTCTGTCTCAAAAAATAAATAAACAAATAGAACAACATTGAAAGTCTAAAATGAGGAAACTATTAAAGTCTGGTACATTCATATTCTTTAAAATTAGAAAATATCCCCAGAAAGTACTTGTGATTAAGAAAATCAGTTGGTGGGGTTTATGTAAAATATTAGTACAGAATTAACAGTGCACTGTGACTATATGTACTATCCTATACCTTAAATACATATTAAATGGTCTGGAAAGATACAGCTCATACTAATGAAGGGATATGTTGACACAAAACTAGTATGAAACAAGGAATAATCAATGGGAACATATTACCATCCACATTTACTTATTGTACAAAATTGTTCCCAGTATGAGTTATTAAGCAGAGTGAAAATTTAAAATTTTTCAAGTTTAGGAACACATTTCCTTAAACTTTTAACCCTGGCCATCTCAATTATTTACCAGAATGGAGGGGTCAGGAAAAGGAAAACTTTCATTTTCCACTTCTGAATTTTATTTTCTTCACCCCCAAAATTGCAGCATTAGAACATTAAAAAACACATCCAGAAATAAATTCCATTTCATCATGAAAAAAAAGTGACATAATCTTGGGGCATGTGCATTTTGAAGCTCTCAGCAGAAAATCAAAGGACAAATGTCTTTCCCATATTTCCTGCACTGGGAGCCACGATGTCCCCAAACTTCCCTCCTGACAGCCTTACATGTGGCTATGTCCCCATCCAGGGGACTGAGACTCTCCAACCTACAGTTTATATATTCCACCACCAAGAACTGTGCCATACACTTTAAAAACATTTCTTAAGGCCGGGCGCAGTGGCTCACGCCTGTAATCCCAGAACTTTGGGAGGCCGAGGCGGGTGGATCATGACGTCGGGAGTTTGAGACCAGCCTGACCAATATGGTGAAACCCTGTCTCTACTAAAAATATAAAGTTAGTCGGGTGTAGGGGCACATGCCTGTAATCCCAGCTACTCAGGAGGCTAAGGCAAGAGAATCCCTTGAATCCGGGAGGGAAAGGTTGCGGTGAGTCGAGATGGTGCCACTGCATTCCAGCCTGGCAACAGAGCGAGCCTCTGTCTCAAAAAAAACCACAAAACCACAACAACAAAAAATTAGCTGGGCGTGGTGGCGCGCACCTGTAATCCCAACTATTTGGGAGGCTGAGGCAGGAGAATCGCTTGAACCGGATAGGTGGAGGTTGCAGTGACTGAGATCGCGCCACTGCACTACAGCCTGGCGACAGGGTGAGACTCCATCTCAAAAAAAAAAAAAAATTTAAATACTTATATGTATTTTATATGTAAAATAAATAGAATTTTTATATGTGTATGTTTAAATGTAAATAACATATATAGGTATTTTTATGCTAAAATACACTCTCATTTTTTCACCCTTCACCTATTATCAGATGTAATTCCCAGTTACGAAAACAGAGACTCAAAGAAGCAGTGGATAGGGCTTGGTTTACTCAGATACCACCATATAGGCTCCTCTTCTCTTGAGGAGCCTCCAGTCAGCAAGTTTCCTCTCCGGGCCCAAGAGAAATCAATTCAGTTGTCCAGGAGCACTGCCAAACACATATTATGTTAAAAATAGTCTTCCGAATAACTGAGAATAAAGACTTTACAAACTAAAGGCCAGGAGCAGTGGCTCACGCCTATAACCCCAGCACTTCGTGAGGCCCAGGTGGGCGGATCACATGAGCTCAGGAGTCCCAGACCAGCCTGGCTAACACGATGAAACCCCGTCTCTACTAAAAATGCAAAAATTAGCCAGGCATGGTGGCATACGCCTGCAGTCCCAGATACTCGGGAGGCTGAGGCAGGAAAATCGCTTGACCCAGGAGGCGCAGGTTGCCGTGAGCCGAGATCGCGCCATTACAATCCAGCCTGGGAAACAGAGAGAGACTCCATCTCAAAATAATAATAAAAATAATAATAACGATATTATATTAGTAATTAATAACTTAGGCAAAACACAAGATACCAACTCTAATAAATTCAGTACTTGGATTTGTAATTTATCTCAAGAAGCGCGCATTAGAATAATAAAGAAAGGAAAATAAATTTATATCGATACAAGCAGAAATTTTTGTTCTTTTAAAGCCAAGCCTCAGCCTTCCACCCCCACAGCCCAGGGTCTGATCCCATAAATTCTCTGGAACTCAGCCCACGATGCATCTCTGCCTCCTGGGTGACTGGGGAACAGAAACAAAAATTATGTTCCAGTGAAAGTCAATATAAAATTTTACAGTCCGCACAGGCACAAAAATGCATCTCATTCTAGTTTCCATCACCTACGCAGACAACTCCAGCTTTCGCTTAATGAAATAAAAATTCTAATCGTCCAGATCTCAGAAGTTCCTGGATCCAAGCGCCCCCCTGTACCGTCGCCCTCTCCCATCCACCAGGTCCCAGCGCTCCTCTCGCCTCATCGCAGGACGCGCCTCCATCGCTCGCAAAAACGTTTTCAAGCCAACCTTTCCCAACTTAAGCTCCGATTCCAATATAAGGGGCCTATGGGTCTCTAATTTTTTGCTTAGCTAGGCTTCAAAGGACACCAAAGAGATTCAAGGGAATCCAAAAGTGAAGAATCGAGTACTGCTAGACGACAAACAGACCCAAAAACGTCGCTGGGACGCGCCGAGGTGAGGTCTTGCAGTCCGACCCGTAGGCCCCGCCCCCGCCCCCGCCCCCCCCCCCGCCCCGCCATTGTCCCCGCCCACCGCCATTATCCCCGCCCATCCCGTCTTTGTCCCCGCCCATTCCCGCCATTTGCCCGCCCATTCCCGCCATTTGCCCGCCTATCCCCACATTGGTCCGCGCCCTGCCCCTGCCCTTGCCCCTTGCGCCTCCCCAGTGCACTCGCGTACGCGCAGGTTCCTGCCGACCCGGAAGCGGATCTCGCGGGGCTTCTGGCACTCTCGGGTGAGTGAGTCTCCGTCTTTGGGGTTCAAGCCTGCGCCTCGCGGGCCCCAGGTTCCCACGCTCCGCTGTCGGGTTTTGGGGTCGCCCTGTAGGTTAAAACCCCGAACCTGCTCATTCCTCTCGCGGCGTGGCCCCTAGACGTTCCCAGTCCCGTAGCTCCGAGAGGGTCTGGAGGTCTGCGTCCATTTCGGATTAAAATCGTTCTGAAGTGGGTACTGGCCCCTACTTTTTTGCCTTCGGTCAGTGTGGCTACCGACCGCCCACCGCGTCGTTTCTCTGCTTAAAACTCTTCTCTGACTCCCTCTTCTCTCCTCCTGGTAAAGCCCTCATTCGGGGCGGATACACACCCTTCGCCCTCGTCCGGGGAGAACAGAGGGGAAGCAGAAATGGAGGAGGAGGAGGGAGAAATGCGCGAAATTAGAGAGCAATTAGAAAGAATAGCCGGGACTGAAAAAAAGGATGCTACCAAGATGAGGCCAAACACTGTCAGAGAAGGAGGGGAAGGGAAGCAAAATGAGCAGAAATGGACAGGGAAACAACGAAATGGGAGAAAGAAAAGGAAAGAAACAGAAGGTGGGAGAGAGAGATTGACGGGGACCCAAATCCAAGTGAGTTTGGAGTTGATTTAATATGGAACATTAAGTTGTGAAGTACTGATGCATGGCTCTATAATTAATTTAAAATTTGTTTCACTGTTTATGCAGAAGAGAATGAACATTGCAAAACTAGGGTGTGAGGTTTCTGCGTTTCCTAATTATTACATCTGAAGTAACCCTTATTCAGCCAGAGGGTTAACTGACTCAGCTCAGTTGATTCCAGGTTACCCTCTTCCCTTTCTCTCATCTTGAGGAGAGTCAAGAAATGGGAAGAAACTGTGACACCATATGCTGCTTTACAAACAGACATTAACAATATTATTCCCTCCTTTTTTGTGTGTGGCTTGTGTCATTTTCTAAATTTGATGTATATACAACTTGTCTTAAACGTAATTCCAGAATTTATTGGATTTTAAAAAATTTTTTCAAATTATTTTCTCTTAAATGTATCGTTCAGCTTATGAGTTTTAAATGCTTTGTTTTTCTTTTCTTTTCTTTTTTTTGAGACGGAGTGTCACTTTGTCGCCCAGGCTAGAGTGCAGTGGCTTGATCTCGGCTCACTGCAACCTCCGCCTCCAGGGTTCAAGCGATTCTCCTGCCTCAGCCTCCCGAGTGGCTGGGATTATAGGCACGCACCACCATGCCTGGTGAATTTTTTGTATTTTTAGTAGAGATGGGATTTTCACCTTGTTATCCAGGCTAGTCTCGAACTCCTGACCTCGGGTGATCTGTCTCCGCCTCCTAAAGCTCTGGGGTTACAGGCGTGAGCCACCGCGCCTGGCCTAAATGCTTTCTACTTTTTATCATATATTGGAACTGTTCTTTTATGTCTTGTACCTGATTTCACAGTGTTTCACTCTAAGGGTGTTGATAATCTTTTAGCCCTTAAAATCTGGTTTAACCAGTTAGCTTAATGCAGTTGACCTTGAACAACACCAGTTTGAGCTATGCAGGTCCAACTATACAGGGGATTTTCTTCTACCCCTGTCACTCCTGAGACAGCAAAATGAACCCCTTCTCTTCTCCACTGCAGCCCACACAATATGACCTCGGTGGGGGGATGCGAGAAAGATGAAGAATTGTGATGATCCACTTCCTCTTAGTGAATGGTAAATATATTTTCCCTTTATGATTTTCTTATTAACAGTATCATTTCTCTAACTTACTTTGTTTTAAGAATACAGTATACAGTACATGTAACATACAAAATATGTGTTTATCGACGGTTTATGTTTTCAGTAAGACTTCTGGTCAACAATGGGCTATCAGTAGTTAAGTTTTTGGGGAATCAAAAGTTGTACCTGGATTTTTGACTGGGGGCGGGGGACGGTTAGTGCCCCTATCACTGGTGTTGGTCAAGGCTCAGCTCTATTCAGTTTCTTTACTCCCTTATGTCATCTGAAAGCTTCCCACTAAGTAGATGTTCCCCCAGGTCCCCTTTGTCCTTTCTCTGCAAGATGTTGAAGAATGGCCTGGATTGGTGTGGAATTTTGTTCCAACAGAGCCCATCTGTTCATAATGAAGAGATTACTCAGCACTCATCTCCACAGCTGACCCCCTTTCATGCTTTCCAAGAGTCATAGCTATTTGTAATTTCATATTTTTGAATATTTTTCTGGAAAAGAGGAATTAAATCCTTGGGATTGATTAAACCCATGAAATAGAAGCTTCTACTCAGGAATGTGAATGGTAATCTGGAAATAAGGATAAACCTTTCCTACTGCCCTATCCAGGCCACCAATTCAGAATTCGTTTACAACTGAGTTCTGCTTACTCAACTCAGACCTTTTCCAGGTAACTTGGTGAAATGTCTCCTCTCTCTGAGGCTCAGTGTGCCCACCGGTAACATGGAGATGATGGGTATACCAGAAATTCTGAATCTGAGCCGATGGAACCCCTGAAATGATGTTCAGGATTGAGCATGTGTCTGCATGTGGCAATTTTTTGAGAGAGGGTGCCCAATTACAGTTAGTCTTTTTTTTTTTTTTTTTTTTTTTGAGACGGAGTCTCGCTCTGTCGCCCAGGCTGGAGTGCAGTGGCCGGATCTCAGCTCACTGCAAGCTCCGCCTCCCGGGTTCACGCCATTCTCCTGCCTCAGCCTCCCGAGTAGCTGGGACTACAGGCGCCCGCCACCTTGCCCGGCTAGTTTTTTGTATTTTTTTAGTGGAGACGGGGTTTCACCATGTTAGCCCATGTTGGGATGGTCTCGATCTCCTGACCTCGTGATCCGCCCGTCTCGGCCTCCCAAAGTGCTGGGATTACAGGCTTGAGCCACCGCGCCCGGCCTACAGTTAGTCTTCAATGACTCTCAGACCTCCAAAAATGATGGAAACTACTAGGAAAGGGGTGGGGGCGTAGGCCTAGAGATAGGAGAGCTGCTTCTCTCAGCTTTTTATACTTTCTCACTATCTCTGCATCAGGAGTAAGTCTTAAGTTTTATTATGTCATCTCCTGGCATTAAATCCTTTTATGCTTTCCCTCTGCCTGTAGGACAAATATCTAAACTACGTAGTATGGCTACAGCGGGATTTCTGGAGCTATGGTGGCTCTTCACCTGTTCCAATTTTAGGCTTTTATTATCCTGCATTGACTGACGGTCTTTGGATGCTGGCTACCCAGGGAGAGGCTGTGAACTTGGACATAGCAGTTTTTCTTGGCTGAGCATCAGGTGGACAGAGGACAATGCAATTGATACAGAATGTTGGGTTTCAGCAAGAAGGGAGAACTTTTTGAAGACATAGGTGGAATAACTCACTTCTTAGTCTCTGTTTAGTTTATTTTTTTCATGAGTTTATTTTCACTCTTGTTGCAGTTGAAAGCTAAGGACCATCTTATTTCTATATCAAGCCTCTTCCTGTGTCTGTGTGTGGTAGAGGAAGGGCCTGTATTGATTTTAAGCATTAAACAACATATTTTTGACATACAGACTGATCTTACCTGAGAAAGAAACTCAGAGGAAGAGGAAAGAAAGAAGAGGAGGGAATGGCTCTTTCTCAGGTAAAAGTTATATTCTTGGTTGATTGTTTTGTCCTCTCCTTCCTGAAATGCCATATTTTGGACTTGCTAATTTTATCTGACTCTGAAGTGTCCTGACTAACATGTATATTCACACCCAGGGCTTTGCCTCAATTCCATCTCCACCTAGATTCCATCTCACTGTGACCCAGTAACATGGAACTTTGGAAAAGGCTCCATTTAGATGATTGTTCTGGGAAGGGTTTGATGCCTAGTCATGGATTGGATATGGGGGGCAGGCTCCATGGTGTCAGTGAGGTTGGGTGGTAGTGACTGTTTAGAGACTTCATTTGGATGCCCTTTCCGCTCTTTATAAACCAGGATTAAAGAAGCTGCATATGTAAGTGATATATTAATGTGCACAAATACCTGGAAAACTTTGGAAAAGTAGACTGATGGGGGAAACTTGCTTAGCTTGAGTTTATAACACGTTTGTAGCGAAACAATTGAGTCTGTGTTTCCGGCTGTAAAATATTAATTTGGAATAGAATGGGAAGTTCAGAAGTAGACATTGGGGATGGAGAAGGTAGTCTTTTTTCATAATTGGTTTTAAAATATTAAATCAACATAATTGTCTTAACAGCAGGAGGTTCTTTAAATTCTTCACAGTGCATCCATCTCATGAAGACTCTGCTGTTCATTTAGGAATTCTCATGCAGTGGGTGTTTAGATAAAAATGTCTATAATTTATTATTTTTCTTAATTTAACTTTAAGTCCAGGGGTAGGTTTGTTACATAGCTAAACTTGTGTCATGGGGGTTTGTTGTAAAGATTATTTCATCATCCAGATATTAAACCTAGTACCCATTAGTTATTTTTCCTGATCCTCTCCCTCCTCCCACCCTCCACCCGTGATAGACCCCAGTGTGTGTTGTTTCCCTCTATGTGTCCATGTGTTCTCATCATTTAGCTCCCACTTGTGAGAACATGCACCATTTGGTTTTCTATTCCTGTGTTAGTTTGCTAAAGATAATGGGCTCCAGCTGTATCCATGTTCCTGCAGAAGACATCATCTCTTTTTTTTTTTTATGGCTACATAGTATTCCGTGGTGTATGTGTGTGTATACCACATTTTCTTTATTCAGTCCACCATTGGTGGGCATTTAGGTTGATTCCACGTCTTTGCTATTGTGAATAGTGCCACAGTGAACATGTGCACGTATGTGTATGTTCGTGCATGCATGATGGGATTGCTGGGTTGAATGTAGTTCTGTTTTTAGATCTTTGAGGAATCACCACACCGTCTTCCAGGATGGTTGAACTAATTTACACTCCCATCAACAGTGTGTAAGTGTTCCTTTTTCTCCACAACCTCACCAGCATCTGTTATTTTTTTGACTCTCTAGTAATAACCAAAAGGGGCCAGGTGCAGTGGCTCACACCTGTAATCCCAGCACTTTGGGAGGCTGAGGCGGGTGGATCACCTGAGGCCAGGAGTTCAAGACCAGCCTGACCAACATGGTGAAACCCTGTCTCTACTAAAAATGCAAAATTAGCTGGGCATAGTGGCACATGCCTGTCATCCCAGCTACTCGAGAGGCTGCGGCTGGAGAATCACTTGAACCTGGGAGGTGGAGGTTGCAGTGAGCCAAGATCGTGCCATTGCACTTCAGCCTAGGCAACAAGAGCAAAACTCCGTCTCAAAAAGATAATAATAATAATTAAAAAATAATAGCCAGCCGGGCACGGTGGCTCACGCCTGTAATCCCAGCACTTTGGGAGGCCAAGGCAGGTGGATCACGAGGTCAGGAGATCAAGACCATCCTAGCTAACATGGTGAAACCCCATCTCTACTAAAAATACAAAAAAATTAGTGGGGCATGGTGGCAGGCGCCTGTAGTCCCAGCTATTCGGGAGGCTGAGGCAGGAGAATGGGGTGAACCAGGGAGGCAGAAGTTGCAGTGAGCCAAGATTGCGCCACTGCACTCCAGCCTGGGTGACAGGGCGAGACTCCATCTCAAAAAAAAAAAAATAATAATAATAATAGCCAAAAGATGGCTATAATGTAGCTAAGACCTATGAGCAGAACTTCCTGTCATCAGAGAGGCAGGAGCAAATTCTGATTATACTACTTGTTGTTAAATACTACATTTCTTTTGTAGTAAGCATCACATGATATATATATATATTTTATGATAGAATGTCACATAGTGATGCTTAGGGACTAAGGAGTAAAACATGTTGTCCAGTCCACCATCACTCACTGTCTCCATCAGGAACTACTGTTCATTCTCTTCAATGAAATAAAAATCATAAAAATCATAACTTAATTTTAGAAAACGTTTAGTGAATATTTTGTTGTGATACTCTGTTTTGCAAATTTGTATATTTGTATACTGTATGTCTTCATTTCGTTTTAAGGCTGGTAAACAGAGATAACTTGAGTTTTCGCTTTCTCATTGGAGCCTTCTCTTACTGAAGACACATACAGTTTTTCTCTGTTATAAAGAATCCGCATTGGCTGCTTGGGAGCAGGCCAACTGTACTACAGCTGTGTGAGGATTCCTCCAGGTTGGGCAATTTGAAGCATGATTACTGGCTTAATAATGATGTTTCTGAGGAAGTTCAGACACCGCACTTACTAAAAAATACTTTAAATCAACTATCTTAACCATGCTCAGACAGCTGAAGTAAACGGTAGACAAAGAACTAAAGGAAAGTAGGACAACAGTGTTTCAATGAGTATCAGTAAAAACATAGAAATTATTAAAAAGAAGTGAAATAGAAGTTTTGGAGCTGAAAAGTATAATATGAAAATTTCAGCTATAAAGTTTCAAGAGTAGATTGACAGAATACAGAATTAGCTAACTTAAACTCTAGGTTAATTGAAATTATTTAATCTGAGCAGAAGAAAGTGAAGAAAAATAAAATGTAAGAAAGCTTTGGGACACCATGAAGCATAGGCATGTATGCTTAATAAAAATTTTCGAAGAAAAAGAGAAAGCAAAAGGCAGAAAGAATATTTGAAGAAATAAGAACTGAAACCTCCGAAATATATAAAGAACATGAATCTGTATACCTAGGAAACTCAGTGAACTTTAATTGTGATAAACTTATAGAGATCCAGAGCAATACACATAATCAAACTGTGGAAGGAAAAAGAATCATGGTAGTAGCAACACAGAAATGATTTGTCATGTACAGTGATCCTCAAAAAGATTAACAGCCAAATTCTCATCAGAAACTATGGAGGCTGGAAATTAGTGGAATGACATATTCAAAGTTTGAAAGGAAGAACTATCCAGCAGGAATTCAATATCAGGCAAATTATCCTTCAGAATTGACAGTGAAATTGAGATCCCCAGATAAACAAGAGCTGAGGGAGTTTGCATTAGTGGACTTACCTGCATGAAATCTTAAAGTCTTTTAGGCTGAAATAAAAGGACACCAGCAGTACCTTAATGCCGTAAGAACAAATTAATACAGGTGAAATACCTACATAGGTATAAATATAAAAGCCAATATTACTGGTTTTTTAAAAACCTTTTTAATATGATTTAAAAGGCATGTATAAAACAATAATTGTAAATCTGTTACTGGCTATAAAATGCATAGAGAAGTAATTTTTGACGGTATGAAGAGAACCAGCCAGAGCTGTATAGAAACAGAAGTTGTTATGCAATTGAAGCTAACTTAGCATCAATTGAAACTTAATTATTACCAGCTTCTGATGTAAATTTTAATCCCCAGGGCAACCATTAAGAAAATAGCAAAAATGTAAAGAAGGGAACCAAAATGATATACACACACAAACTTATACACACAAGGAAGGAAGTAAGGGAATAATTACAAAACAAAAAAGATAGGCATATAAAAAATAAGTAGCAAAATGGTAAAAGTAGTTCTTTTATCAGTAGTTACTTTTATCTGACTCTGAAGTGGATTAAATTCTCCATTAAAAGGCACTTATTGGAGGAATAATTTTTTAAAACTATGATTTCACTATATGATTTTTATAAAAGACTTCCTTTAGAGCTAAAGACACAAATAGGCTGGAAAGTATAATAAAGGGATGTGAAAAGGTATTTCATGCAAATATTAAACCTAGCTGGATAGCTATACAGATAGCAGACCAAATAAACTTTAAGTCAAAAATTGATAGGCCGGGCGCGGTGGCTCAAGCCTGTAATCCAAGCACTTTGGGAGGCCGAGGTGGGCGGATCACAAGGTCAGGAGATCAAGACCATCCTGGCTAACCCGGTGAAACCCTATCTCTACTAAAAAATACAAAAAACTAGCCGGGCGAGGTGGCAGGCGCCTGTAGTCCCAGCTGTTAGGGAGGCTGAGGCAGGAGAATGGTGTGAACCCGGGAGGCGGAGCTTGCAGTGAGCTGAGATCCGGCCACTGCACTCCTGCCTGGGCGACAGAGCAAGACTCCGTCTCAAAAAAAAAAAAAAAATTTGATATCAGAGATGTTGAAGGACAGTAAATATTGGGGTTAATCCATCAAGAACATGTAACCGCTATAAAAAATACGGATCAAATATCAAAGCCCCAAATATTTTGGAGCAAAAATTACAAGGAGATACAGTCCTACTATAATAAAGAATTCAATGCTCTCTTTTTAATAATGGATAGAACAACCATACAGAAGATCAGTAAGGAAATAAAGGGCTTGAACAACACTTTAAACCGAGATTATCTAACCCATGGAACACGGACTGCATGTGGCTCAGGATGGCTTTGAATGTGACACAACACAAATTTGTAAACTTTATTAAAACATGAGATTTTTTTGTATGTGTTTTCTTTTTTTTTTTAAAGCTCATCAGCTGTCATTATTGTTAGTGTATTTTATGTGTGGTCCAAGACAATTCTTCTTCCAGTGTGGCCCAGGGAAGCCGAAAGATTGGACACCACTGCTGTAAACTACACCGAACAAGCATGGAAAGAAAACTGCACTCAGTAAAAACAGAATCTGTACTCTTCTCAAATGTACATAGAATATTCTCCAGGATAGACCACATGTCAGGCCACAGAACAAGTCTCAGTACAAAGCTAGAACTCATAAAACTGTGTTCTCACACCACAGTGGAGTGAAATTGGAAATCAATAAAAGGAAAACTGAAAAATTCAGTTTTAAATGAATTTTAACTTCCTTATTGAGGTATGATTGGCATAAAAAAGCTATACATATGTAATGTATACAATTTAATGAGTTTAGAGATAAGTATACACCTCTGACACCACCACTGCAATCTGTCATAAACATATCCAATGCCTCAAAAAGTTTTTTTCTGCCGTCTTTATTAGTTCATATTTTTATAATACAACCTAAGAACTACTATCTTAACAAATTTTTAAGTATACAATACAGAATTAACTATAAGCACTGTGTTATTCAGTAGATCTCTAGGACTTTTGCATCTTGCATAACAGATTTCCTAGCACTATTTACTGAAGAGAGCGTCTTTTCTCCATTATGTATTCTTGACACACTTGTCAAAGATCAGTTGATTGTATATGTGTGAGTTTATTGCTGGGCTTTGTATTCTAGTCCTTTTGTTTTGTGTCTATTTCATGCCAGTACCATACTGTTTTGATTACCATACCTTTGTAATACACTTTGAAATCAGGAAGTGTGATACTGCCAGCTTTGATACTCTCGCTCAAAATTGCTTTGGCTCTTTTGGGTCTTTATAGTTCTATATGATTTTTTTTTTTTTGAGATGGAGTCCCACTGTGTGGCCCAGGCTAGAGTGCAGTGGTGCGATCTTGGCTCACTGCAAGCTCCGCCTCCCAGGTTCACGCCATTCTCCTGCCTCAGCCTCCCGAGTAGCTGGGACTACAGGCGCCCACCACCACGCCTGGCTAATTTTTTGTATTTTGTTTAGTAGGGACAGGGTTTCACGTGTTTTGCCAGGATGGTCTTGATCTCCTGACCTCGTGATCTGCCCGCCTTGGCCTCCCAAAGTGCTTGGATTACAGGCGTGAGCCACCGCATCCGGCCATAGTTCTATATGAATTTTAGGATTATTTCTTATATTTTTGTAAAAAGTGCCACTGTGATTTTGATAGGGATTGCATTGACTCTGTAGATTGCTTTGAATAATACGGACATTTTCATAGTATTAATTTCCTAAGTTCTTGAACATAGAATATCTTTCCATTTATTTGTTTTGTCTGCTTTAATTTCCTTCATTAGTATTTTATAGTTTGCAGCATGCAAGTCATTTACCTGTTTGGTTAAGCTTATCTTATGTTAAAGTCACATGGGGAGTGACTGCTTAATGGGTACGGCATTTCTTTTGGAGATGATAAAAATGTTTTTGAACTAGACAGAGGTGGTGGTGTATAACTTTGTGAACGTACTAAATGCCACTGAATTATACTTTAAAATGGCTAATTTATTTGTTTTATTTTGAGGTGAAGTCTTGCTCTGTCGCCCAGACTGGGGTGCAGTGGCATGATCACTGCTTACTGTAGTCTCCACCTCCCAGGCACAGGTGATCCTCCCACCTCAGCCTCCTGAGTAACGGGGACCACAGGCCCATGCCACTGTGCCCAGCTAATTTTTAAAAATTTTTTGGTAGAGATGGAGTCTCACTTTGTTGCCCAAACTGGTCTCAAACTCCTGAGCTCAAGAGGTCCTCCCACCTCAGCCTCTCAAAGTGCTGAAATTACAGGTGTGAGCCACTGCACCCAGCCTAAAATAGCTAATTTTATGTTACGTGAATTTCATCTCAGTTTAAAAAAATAAAATCAGGGATATATAAGTTGCTTACATTAACTCACATAAATCAGTCACATCACTCTGGCCAAGTGAATATTTACACCTCTTTTCTGTCATTTTGTGTGAAAATAAGAAATTTTTCTGTGTCCACTTGGTGAAGTGTGTTTTTATTTCAGGGACTGTTTACATTCAAGGATGTGGCCATAGAATTCTCTCAAGAGGAGTGGGAGTGCCTGGACCCTGCCCAGAGGGCCTTGTACAGGGACGTGATGTTGGAGAACTACAGGAACCTGCTCTCTCTGGATGAGGATAATGTCCTTCCAGAAAACGGTAACCACCCTTGTACATCTTTACATTTTTCCTTGTGAGTCTCTTGGGAGCCCCCAATATGCTTGTCCGAATCCGATCCCTGTTCTAAAAGGGGAGATTGAAACTTTTTGATTCAGAGTGGAAATGCTTCATAATGTGGCATATAGACTTTAAACTTCCCCTTTCGTCAGAAGTTCTGCACGTAACCAGGTTTGACGAGTGGTGGTTCCAGAACATCAGTACTTACAAAACCTTATGGAAAACACTTTAAAGTATCTGGTATCATGGGTTTATCCCCGTGCCTTTGAGTCAGTAGTTTTTTCAGAGTCTGCATATTTAAAATAATCCCTAAGCATTCAGAAGAAGGCAGTTAGTTGACTGATTTATTAAATCGTTTTGGGAAATCGTTTTCCAGACCCATCTGTAATATCCTCTCTTCATAGCTGAACAAAGGGCTGGGAATGTATCCAGGAAAAGCACAACACACCATGTTCCTTTTTTCTTTATAAGTTGAAATCTTTCCTGAGCTGAATATTATCTTCATTTTTGGAGCATAGGAAAGAGTCCTAGACTATGGAGAGTGAAGTGAAAATAGTGGAAAAATCAGGTAGGTCGGAATGTGAGCACAAATAAGCACTTGGATGGCCACAGAGTAAGCTACTCCATTGAGTATTGTTTGGGAAACTCTGCAAATGGGAAAGATCAGTGGGAAAACAAAAGTTTATTTCTTATGAGCTCTCAAATTAAAGTCCACACCCCCTCCCACCGTCCCCCAACACAGTTATTCAAATGTGTAAAATGTTGAACTCTCACTCTCCCATGATGCCCCAACTCATGCAGACACAAAAGCAAAGGTACTATCATGACCTGCAATACTCTGTTTGGCCCCTCTGATCATTTTGGTCTTTTGGTTTTGAGAGGGACCGAGATGGCTATTTTTAAGGACTGTCTTTTTGTATATATAATTTCATCTGATATGTGGTTTTCAGTCTGTGCAGATCAGAGCTGGGGCCTTTGTAGTCCTGGCTCCAGAACCTATTCAGTTTCTATTCCCATTTCTTATACCTGCGAGAACTTTTCAGGAAAATGGGAAAACAATGGCTCCCCCCAGATGTATCTGGGGTTCCCTGAAATTTCAAAGACTGTCAGTCTCTACTTGTTCAAGCCCCTTGGCCATTCCTTCAGTTCTGCTTTTGCCACATGTGTGTGTCTAAAGGGGAGGCTTTTCAGATTGTTACTCAGCAGTAATATAAAGTGGACCTCAAGCAAACTCCAACAGACCTGCAGCTGAGGGTCCTGACTGTTAGAAGGAAAACTAACAAACAGAAAGGACACCCACACCAAAACCCCATCAGTATGTCACCATCATCACAGACGAAAGGCAGATAAAACCATAAAGATGGGGAAAAAGCAGTACAGAAAAGCTGGAAATTCAAAAAATCAGAGCGCATCTCCCCCTCCAAAGGAACGCAGCTCGTCGCCAGCAATGGAACAAAGTTGAACAGAGAGTGACTCTGACAAGTTGAGAGAAGAAGGCTTCAGTCGATCAAACTTCTCAGAGCTAAAGGAGGAACTACATACCTGGCACAAAGAAACTAAAAACCTTGAAAAAAGAATGGATGAATGGATAACTAGAGTAATCAATGCGGAGAAGACCATAAAAGAACTGATAAGAGATGAAAACCATGACACAAGAATTACATGACAAATGCACAAACTTCAGTAACCGACTCGATCAACTGGAAGAAAGAGTATCAGTGATTGAAGATCAAATGAATGAAATGAAGCAAGAAGAGAAGTGTAGAGAAAAAAGAGTAAAAAGAAATTTGTGGAGAAAATAGGAAACTTCTTACACTGTTGGTTGGACTTAGTAAACTTAGATTCAACCATTTGTGGAAACGCAGTTGGTGGCAATTCTCAAGGGAATCTGCGAACTAGAAATACCATTTGACCCAGCCTCCCATTAATGGGTATATACGCAAAGATTATAATCGATGCTGCTGTAAAGATCACATGCAGCACATATGTTTTATATGCAGACGTATTCAGCAAGCAGAGACTGGAGTCAACCAGATTGTCCATCAGTGACAGAGTGGATAAGAAAACTGCTGGCAATATACACCAGGTGATACTATTTGCGCCAAAAAAAGATGGAGTTCATGTTCCTTTTGTAAGGGCATGGATTGCAGCTGGAACCAATCATACACTTCTCAGCAAACTGTCGCAGAAACAGAAAAGCCAATCACCGCATGTTCTCACTATAGGTGGGAAGTTGAACAAGAGATCACTTGGACACAGGAGGGAATATTGCACGCAGGGACCTTCTTTGTGGGAGAGGGGCGAGAGGGAAGGGATGCATTAGGAGGATATACCTGAAGTGAATGATGAGTTAGTGGTGCGCACACCACATGGCACATGTGGTGATACCATATGTTAACAAAACCTGGCAACGGTTGTTGCACATGTCTGACTCTCATACTTAAAGTATTAACAATAAGAAATAATAATTTAAAAAGGAATCTGTGCTCTTGTCTGTTCACCTACTCCTCCCTGGGCATT